GTTGGGAGAACCCAAATCTTAATTACAAAGTAAAAAATCAGTTATAAAATATAAAATCATGTTTGAATAAAAAAAATTGTCAAAAGAGCTTTGAGGATTAGATGAACATTTTCAAAAAGTTATCTGAAGGAGCTTCTTCACTAGCGCAACGCTAGAAGACTTTAGAATAATTATCAATTTCTCTTTCTTTATTTTCTCACCTTGTTCTATCACCTCTTCTTCACTTTGTCTGCTAACACACTCTTATTTTTAATCTACTTTTTTAAAAAATTATTAACTTTAAGTTTAATATTTTTAAAAAATATTAAATTAATCATAAAAATATATATAAAAAAATTTATGAACATTTTTTTTCATTGTATATCTCAACTATTTTTTGAAAAAAAAATTTGAAAATATTTTTGACTATTTTCTAATCTTCAAAAATTTTAAAAAGTATATGATTGACAAGAAAGCACCAAATTGGAGCAGAAGAATACTCTCTCTCTCTCTCTCTTTTAGAAAATCGCTTATATTTAAAAAATATCAAAACAAGCTTGATGAAAATATAGACTATTTTTTTAAAAAATTATAATTTAAAGTTCAATATTTTTAATTATTATACATTTCATTTGGCTTTTAAATTAAATCGTTCAAATAAAATTCAGTTTATTCAACCAACTTCTAAGAAAAAGGTAATCAAATATAAATTACGTCACATTCACTAACTTTTTTCCTAACATTAGCTGTAAATTTAATCAAAATACACACTAAATCATAACTTGGTTTAATTGGTTAAACTAGTGAAGTGTCTCTGTATGATCTAATCAAGAACTATGGTGCATGGATACTAATACATGTATTAGATGTAACATCCTAAGTTTTTTTTTCATTAGTAATTATCAGTGTTTTCAAGGGTAATTTGGTCAATTTAAATGAATTATTGATTTAGCGAGGTTTATGAGATACTAATATGATTTTTGAATTCTTGGACAGCCTTAGATAAGGGTTAGATCGATGTTCAAGTGGGTCATGGCATAGAAAGGAGTTTAAAATTTTGTAAAACTTTCTGTGCCATGAGCCGTAATGAGCATGTCAATGCCTCACAACGCACGTGCAAAATCTACACTTATCAGATTGTGAATCAGATTTGAAAAACAGAAGAGAGAAAGAAGGAACTCAAGAGTAGCGATGAAGAGAGACTTGTGGTTGCTAGAGCTTGCTTTCAACGTAATTTTGGAGGTCTTTTAAGCTTCATATACATTGGGTAAGCCTTCCTTTCTTCTCCCTCTCCCTCTTTTATGCATGCAAAACTAGATTGATGGGGTAAGAAAGGTTTTGTTTTCGATTCTCTTGAGTTGAGGTCGAACCCATTGATTTATTTAAGATCTTGGGGAGTTAAATCAAGCCTCTAACCTTAAGTTTATGAGTTGTGTGGTGATTAAAAATTTTTTGGCCAAACCCTAAGTATAATTTGAGGATTTTGAGACAATGTGGGATATTGATTAATGAATTTAGTGTGTTGAGATATTTAATAGGATGGTTAGAGTGTTTGAGAATGGTTGATATTGTTAGAAAAGAATTTGGGTATTTTAGACACTTAAAACCTAGAGAATTTAGAGTTATTCCAAGTGATACATTGATATTGTCACTTGATTGTATAGATTGAGCATTGCTCGAGCTATATTGTATGTATAGAATGTGTGGAGTTAACGTTGAACCATGGTAACCTTTTATGTGTGACAAGGGGAAGGTAATGAAATAATTTACACTGATTGATTATATTGCTTAACTGTTTGTGAGTAAATATGTGGATTTGAATTTAAAATTTGATAACTTTGCATATTACGAAATGTGATTTTTTGGATGAAAATTTATTTGCAAATGATAAGTATGATGAAAGTATACATGAATGAGTTGAGAAATTTGAAATGTATATGTAATTATATGTTGAGTGTGAACATAATCATGTTACGGGGTGGGAGTTCACCCGTACGAAGGACTAGTGAAAGTCCATATGACATGCATCTTCTTAGTGTCTAGTGAGGCACGGTGTTGGAGATTTTCTCCTTAGCATCCATGTCGGATACGGCATTGGAGAGTAACGCTTTTAGCATTAATGATGCGGTGTTGGAGTAACAACACCCTGATTTGTGTGTGGTAGGGGAAAACTATAGTCCGAAAGTGAGATAGGACATCTTTGGCCGGATGATGCTACCATTGAAAGTAAGCTCGAATTATTGTGAATGTGCACTTGGTCCAAGAGCCTATGGTTTCATTCGGGGTGATATTGAGTCACGGATAATAGAATGATCATGCTAGTAGTAAAAGATTTGTACTAATAAATAAAATATGTGGTGATATTCTAAATGTATACTTTGGAGTTTCATAGTTTTACTCTCTTATAGTTGTGCATGTTAATTAATAGTAGTAAATTATTTTATTATTGAGATATTTATCTCACCCAGTGATTATATTTTACAAGTGAGGACTCTGGTAAGGATAAGGGCAATTGAAAAATAAAGAGCATTGTAGTATAGCTTTTCCCCTTTCTCTTTAGGTTTGTAACAAATATTGCCATTATATACTGCCCACTTAGGAGCATGATATTTTTTAGATATCACTTATATGAATTTATGATAAGTGGACGTATCTTAATTCAAGATTGATGTTGTTTATTAAATGTATATGCTTGGCCCAGTTACCTTACCAATGAAGAATTTGACGAGATCTATGTGTCAAAATAACTAAGTGACATGTGTGTTAGCTTTATCCATCCCTTTATGTTGTTGTAAATTAAGGTTTTAATAGTCAATTTGAATGTGAATGTTTAATTGTGTGTTATGATTGAATGGTCATGTCGTGTGTGGTCCATTTGATTAGTCAAAGTGTCTTTAGTGCTAATAGTATTTGGTATTGTGAGTTAAACACCCTTGATGTGTGTTTTGAAGTGAAAATGAACCATTTTAGCTTCAGGTGTTTATATTTTAAATGGATGATTATTTGAGTGTAAAACTGGTGTCATTAGTTAGAGGGCTCAAAGAACTTCGTGTAGGACACTTGAATCACTTAAAGCAGATATCAAATGGCGAAACAGCGTGCTTCAAAAGTTTATAGGGATGTCATGACAGCAATTTGCTGTCATAACAGTGGGTGTGTGCCGCGACACAACAACCATGCGTCAAATATAGTCTTGTAAAATAATATCAATAAAACATAATCATTACTTGTATTTTTATTCTATTTATATCTAATTATATATTTCTAAAAAATAATAAAAAAATATAATTTTAATGTAGAAAATATCTAAAATAGCATACATATACAGCATTGTAAATAATATCAAACAAAACATACTCATTAATTGTACTTTTATTTTTTTTAGTAAATAATTATACTTTTATTCTATCTATACATAATTACTTATTGCCTAATCTCTGCTAATAGTTTTCCTCTTAAGATTTTAAAGCCACATTTTTTATAATTAAAAAAATATAATTTTTATTTTTTATTATATCTAAAACTTATTCTTTAAGGAAAATATAATATTTTATTTTAAAATAAAATCAAAAAAATATATTAGAAATAAAAAGATTAATATTGCAATATTTAACAAAATTTATTTTTTAAAAAAAAAAGTCTTCAAATATCAGCTTTAAAGTACTAGCTTGTAATTAAAAGTATTGAATACGTATCAAAAATATTTTTTAAATTAAATTTTTTTTGATACTCTATAAATACGTATTAAAGAAATATCTATATTGGACACGATATCAATACAAATATATGAGATAATTTAAAATATTAATACTTATAGATTAAGAATCTTAAACAGGTCAGTTGAGTTATACTTTATATTTGTTTTCCTCTCCTCATGAGCTCTTGAAATGACTTTGTTTTGAATTTTAAAAACAAAGAATAACAGTAAGTCATATTTGTGCACTAGTAAACCTTACTTTGTTGAGCTATGCATGGTATATATTAATGTTCCATAGGGTAAAGTATACCAACATCCCTTATATTTCACTTTAATTATAAATGTCTCTCTTCTATTTTAAAACTTATATATACCTCTCTTGAAGTAAAAAATTACAATACACATACCTCCTCTCTAGTTTAAAAATTATATTTTCATTTATCCAACCATTACTTATCCATTAAATAATATATTGTGGATTAAAATACCCCTCTTTAACATGATATTATTTAAGAATGATTGAAGCTTTCAAATAATAATAATTATAATATATAAGTTGATAAAAATAATAGTAAATATAAATAAACTATCATAGTATACAAGTTCAAGATTCATTTAAGTAAACTTACTTATTAGCAATTTTTAAAATTTTAAATATATAAGTTGATAAAAATAATATTTTAAATATACATGAATAAAAATTTAATGAATTCTAAAATTTAAAATAATTAGGAATTTAATATAATGAGGGATAAATTAGTTATTATAATTTTTAATTTATTTTATTAATTTAGATATAATTTTATGTTTACTAATTGTTATATAAATATAATCATAATATTCTTTAAAATAGGAGGAGAGAGAAGATGTTAGATTATGAGGGCATATTAGTAATTTTAAATTTTTATCACAGATTTTAATTAATGTAATAAAGTATTTTAGAATCTTAAATGAAATATTCCTAATAATATTAAAAACAAACTAACGTGTATGGTTGAAAAAATAAAGGGGAAATCTCTATAATTTTAACAAAGTTGAAGGGATGTCTTTGTATTTTACTCATATATTTTCTTATAGATTAATGTCTCTCTATTATTTAACATTACTCTCAATGTCATATATATATGAATATACTTTTATATATTTTAATTAAATTATATTATTTTTAATCATGGTTAAGTTGATTCCGATTAAATTAACCACAATTTGACTATTGATTTTGAATAACTAGCTTAACATATTTTATTAATAGGCAGAATTTTTAATTTGTTGGTCTATATATTCACTTTATGATCACCCATCATCTTTTAACTTTCATATCACTAGATATCAAACCATCGATCAAACATGATTCCTTCCACAATAGCCATTCCTGCATTTTTTCTTTTAACGTTCATTTACATTCTTACTATCTTCTACTTGCGCTTGAAAAACACGACAAAATTGCTCACAAACGTCCTCCAGGTATTTATATGATGATCTGTTATTTCTTAATATGGTGTCTCCTTTTATGACTCTAAATTTTCATAATGCCTCGCCAGGTCCTCTAGCTCTTCCTGTTATCGGAAACATCCACTTGTTAGGCACTCTTCCTCATCGCAACCTCCAATCTCTGGCCAACAAATATGGACCCATCATGTTGGTGTGGCTCGGACAAGTCCCAACCATCGTGGTCTCTTCCTCTGAAGCTGCTGAACTGTTCCTCAAGACTCACGACCCTGCTTTCGCAGACCGTCCCCAGACTCAAGCAACTAATTACTTATTTTACGGCTCCAAGGGTCTGGTTTTTTTCTAAGTATGGTTCATATTGGCGTCACATGAAGAAACTAAGTGTCCAACATCTTTTTAGCGCTTCAAATCAAGAGTTGATTTGTCATGTTAGGAGGCAGGAGATAAGAATGGTGGCGAAGTCACTGGAAATTGCTGCGAAGATGGGTGAGATTGTGGACATCAGTGAAAAAGTTCATGGGCTTTTAGAAGATATAGTTTATAAGATTATATTGGGACGGAATAAGGATGGCCAGTTTGATTTGAAGGGGCTCGTTTCTGAAGGTTTGAGATTGGCTGGAGCATTTAATCTTGCAGATATTGTGCCTTGGCTAGGAGCATTTGATATCCAGGTATGATGTTTTAAATCGTATTGTTTAATATAATGATTCTATTAATTTCATACCAGAAATTTGGTTCCTAATCACACATTCGTGCGTGCGTTTGGGTAGGCTTCTATTAATCTTTCAGATATAAGACGAAACTATTCAAATCTTATTGTTTCAGGGACTTACAAAAAGCTTCAAGGAAATAAGCAGAGCACTTGACCAATTGTTGGAGAAGATAATAGAAGAGCATGAAGAAGCTCCTAACTCATACAAAGATGGGAAACGTGAAGATTTCATTGACATATTATTGTCATTAATGATGCATCAACGGAAGGAGGAGGAGGATGATGAACAAAACTATGAAATTACTCAAGATGACATTAAGGCTGTGGCGCTATCTTTGACTGCTGGGGCATACGAAACTTCTGCTGTCGCTATCGAGTGGACTCTATCTGAACTTTTGAGGAATCCTAGGGTGATGAAGAATCTACAAGATGAGCTAGAAACTGTGGTTGGAATGAACAGAATGGTGCAAGAGACAGATTTATCAAAGTTGAATTACTTGAACTTGGTGGTCATGGAGAATTTCAGACTCCATCCCATTGCACCATTCATCCCTCGAGCTTCCACAAAGGATGTTATGGTTGATGGATACTACATAGAGAAAAACGCACGAGTCTTGATAAATTTATGGGCACTAGGACGAGATCCTCGTATATGGTCGGATGATACTGATGTGTTTTATCCAGAAAGGTTCTTGAATAATAGTAACTCAAACAACATTCAAGAATATGATGCTCAACTTCTTTCATTCGGGTCGGGTCGTAGAAAATGTCCGGGAATGCAGATGGGTTTAACTACGGTTAAACTTGTCGTAGCTCAACTTGTGCACTGCTTTAATTGGGAGCTTCCTTTTGGGATGAAACCTGCTGATTTGGACATGACCGAATCATTTGGCCTCTCGTTGACAAGATCTAAGCACTTGTCAGCTGTGCTATCCCATCGCCTTTCTTCCAAGGCATACAATGACTGAAATTCATGTAATATAAGTCCGAGACCAAGGACATGATGTTAGTGTAAATAAATAAATGTTATTGGATCATATTGTATAGTATAGATTAGAACATGAATGTCATATGAAAGTGTTTTTGGTGTTATAATGCCTTAAAATTGGCTCAAGAGTGGCTCGTAAGTCCCTTTTTTTATTTTAAATATTTTTAAATTTTTACAGTAAATATTATATATATATATATATGTATTAAAAATACAAATTATAAAATTTAAAAATAATATAAATTTTAATTTTAAAGTATAAACATATACTTTAAAATATAAATTTAATTTTAAAATTAAAAATATTTCATTGGGTAAAACAAAAAACAGGTCTAAATGGGGCAGGTTTAAAAGCTCAGTTATCCTAAAATTTTTCAATTTTTCAAACTCGAGTTTTGAGAAAACTTAAATGAATAACCTGTCAAACCTCGCTTAAATATTTCTGACTCTATATGTTTAGGGAGACTTTATATATTACATTTTTTTATTTTATCATTTTAGATTAAATTATTTTGAGAATCTCTCGTCATTACACCGACCCCAAAAGCCCAAGTGGCTCCACCCTAAAAAAGAATTAATTTTTCTTGCAAATGGCCTTTTTATTTATTGTTGTTGTTGTTGTTCGCCGCGATGTAAGAGCCATTAATTCTAATATTCTATAATTTTTGGTTCAGCCCATTACTAAATTAGATTTCCAGTAGGTCCAACGTTGATTTTACAGCTGGGTTTGGTACAAGGTCTAAATCATGCCGAAAGTCATGGGCTAAATATTTAGGCACTCTTTTCTAATCCATTTTATATAATGTGTGTATATATATAATATTGTTTTTGGTCCATAAATAGGGAAAACGCACTCATTTGTTACTTGTCAGATCGATTCGAAAAGGTCATGAATTAAGGAACGATTTCGTGTTCCATCTCTTATTTTTATGAGTTGATAATTGATCTTAGATATAAGGTTCGTGGGTTTTATTCTCACTCCCAATTAATGATTTTTCATCAAAATCGTGTCCACATTAATGGACCAATTATGTACCCACAAGTGAATTCATTTTAACATTTTATATAGGAACAAATCAATGGGTACTTTATTATTATTTACAAAATGACACCAAAGATAATTTTATAATTTATAAATTCTACATAGTTATCTATCAATAATTAGATCAAATTTCTAAAGGCTTGTTTAGCTTTTGTTTTCAAAAATAATTTATTGTTTTTAAAAATAATAAATTAATGTTTTGGATAAATATTTTAAATTTAATTTTTTAAAAAAATATTCTCATCTTTTATTTCTAAAACAAAAAATAAAAATATCCTAAATTTATTTTTATTTTTATAATATATTACATTTGGTTATTAAAAATTACAGTTATCTTAGTTAATAATTAGCACAAGTCATTATCATTAATTTTGGGCGACTATTACTATCAACCAAAATTTTTAATTCTATTTTTAAAAATTAACATGACCAAAAAAAATTTTTGTTTTAATTTTTTTTAAAAATTTAAATATTATATTGCAAAATAATTTTTTTGGATAAATATTTTAAATTTAATTGCTTTAAAACTATTCTCATTTTTTATTTCTAAAAAAAATATCTTAAATTTATTTTATTTTTATAATATATTACATTTGATTATTGAAAATTACAGTTATCTTAGTTAATAATTACCACAAGTCATTATCATTAATTGCGGGTGACTATTACTACAACCAAAATTTTTAATTTTATTTTTAAAAATTAAAAAGACTAAAAAAAATTTTTGTTTAAATTTTTTAAAAAAAAATTAAAAATTATATTGCAACATAATTTTTAAAAACAAAAAATAAGACAGAAACCAAACAGGCACTTAATTTACACTTAATTCCTATGGCTAAAAGACGGCGCTTTACGAATGAAAATAAAAAAAAAATAAAAGAAAGGAACTCATGCTTGATATTTCAGTGAATCCATATGACACATTCCATATTTTCGTTATTTTAAGTATTTTCTAATATTCTCAATGCCTTCTTGTATCTTTTGATGTGGGATAATAAAGTTTTAATTGTTCTTAAATTTGTCTTAATTATCAATTTTGTTTCTTAATTTTAATTTTTATTAATTTAATTTCTTACATTTTCTTAAATTATCACCTTAATCTTTTAGTTTTAAAAACATAAATTAGCAGTCAAATTAATCTAGAATGTAAAATATGTTGATAAATTGCCATATCTGTGTAATCAGATGAGAACAAATTAACTTTTAAATTAGTTTAATTTTTATTAATCTATTCCCTAAAATTTCATTTTATTATTTTGATTTTAAAAATTTCTTAGTCTACTTTTTCTATCTACATAAATACACTTCTTTAATTTTCATTAATTTACCTTACTGTCCAATGTCATCATATTTCATTATTTATATTAGCATATTTACATATTCTTTAAACCCAACAAAAAAAAAAACAATTCAATAGATAGTTGAGACAAATTTAGGGGACCGAATAGAAACAATTACAGGATTATATGTTAATAAGATTATACTTATTATAATCTTTTACAATTATAATTACATTTCTAAAATAAAAATTATTCAAGTCCACACCGAATATATTTTTAAAACTCATTCCTACTTCAATTCTATTCTCATTCCATTAAATTTTATTGTGCATGCCGAACGTGTATCATACTCCCTCCGTATTAAATTATAAAATATTTTAGATAAAATCTCACATACTAATAAAGCTTATTAAATACATTTTACATCTTTACTTTTTCAAGATAAAAATATAAAATTTTAAAAATATTCTTTATTTAATACTCTATTAATGAAAAAATATTGAAGAGAGAGAATATATGGGAAAGGTAATATTAAAAAACTATAATTAATGAAACTTTATTTTTATCAAAGTATCTTATATTTTAAAATGCTGAATTTTTTTAAAAGTATTTTATAATTTAAAATGAAATGAGTACTATACAATCTCAGCCATTCATTTAATTATTATTTTGATTCAAACGATGTGAGATTGTTAATTATGAAATTAAAATAAATAAATTATTTACTATTATCACTCTAATGCTTTTGAAAATAAAACCACAATGCTTATCAATGATAACCATTATTAAATGAATATTACATTTATTTTCATGCTGTAATTAATAATTTCACATCATTAAACCAAAATAATAGTTAAATGTATATATAGAAAAAATAATTATCATTATCGATCGCTTGAGAACTAATTTTTCATTCAAACTTCCATAACATTAAAAATAAAGCCATTAAAGGTTTTTTTTTGGTAACACAAGTGAACGATCTTTTTAAGCACATAAATAAAACAAAGACGTGCACACACCATCTAGAGAACTTGGATTTTGACATGAGATAAAAATATATTAACTCATGATCCACATGTGAAGAAAAAAGCATGAAAGTGATAGTAAAGAAATTACAAGATATAAATCGTACCGTTGTCATTTTCTCAATCGGTCACGGGTTTCCCTTGACTCTTTTAAATATTATAATATAATATTATATATAATCAATTCCCTAGCCAATCACTTCAATACACACATAAAGATGGGTGCACCCAATTTTGTTTCAAGTGATCACAATAAATTTTTTCGTCTTAAAAACATGCATTTGCTATTTGGAATGAATTACAATAGATTTTTATTTGATTACTTTAAAGTAAAAAGTCCACTTTATAGTGTAATCCTGCTATTTATAAATGTTCTAAATTATTTTTCTTAGATAATTAATTATTGCATTAATTCCTTCTAAATAGTTAAATAAATGGCGGCGGCGACCAAATTGAAGGGATGGTGATGGAAGGTGACCGTTCGATCCTCGCCCGGTGGAAGTTGGACTTTCAATTCTTGTCATCCCCATCGGTTCGGTGTTAGTGGAAGTCGGCTGTTCGATCGCTGTCGGTCCAATCCTAATGGAAGTCAGCCATCGGGTTCCTGTCATTGCCATCGGTCCGGTCCCGTTGGAAGTCGGCCATCGAGTCCCTGTCGTTACTGTCAATCCGATCCCTGTAAAAGTCAGCTGTCTCGTCGCAATCAACGATGGCAGTTTGTTTTTGCCAACTTTGGTGGTTCAGTGCAATTACTGTTGGTAGGTCAATCAAGCCTTTATATATTTGGGTCAAATTATAAAAGAGCTTGAGTTAGAATTTGAAATAATAAGAGTTTAGAAAGAATTTTAAATTATAAAGAGATTAAGGAAGAACTTAAATTTAAATTTGTGCTAAATCCAAATCCATACATTTTTAATTATCTAAACAATGGATTTGACTCAAATTCAAATCCAAATTCAAATTCAAATCTATATGTATCCAAACATAACATTAAAGATATTATATTTATGTATGTATAAACATTTTTGTTTTATATATATAAATGTATAAAATGACACAAAGTGACACCTCAGACAGGTCCTTTATCAAATATGTATCTTTAATGAATTTGTTAGAAAGTGTAAATCATACATAACATGTGGCAAAATAAGGCACTCTAATAAGCTCGCATTTAGTTCATCACTATACACGCGCGCGCGTACATGACACACGCTCACAAAGAGTCATTTAAGAAGATTCCTCAAGAAGGTTTGGTATTTTCACTTAGGCAAATTAATTTTAGCAATTAAGTAGCAAGCAATATATCAAACACATACCTAGCATGGAGAGAACTCAAGATTCAATGGTAGATTATTGAGAAGCTTTCTGCGTGTGAGAGTGATTTTAGATCTAAGGAAGCTATAATGACTAGTTTTTGGATTCCAAAGCTAAATAACAATCATACTTAGGCCTTTATTCAATCTGAGAAGTTACAGAGTTATTGTTTCAGATGTCGTAAGATTGGACATGATTTTCGTGGATGTGGTGTGGAGCGTTTAATGTCAATTATTAATCCAAATGAACCTAAATACAGAGCTTGGCTCTCTACTAGTTAAATGAGGACGTGGAAGGAGGCTTTGAGTATATGGGGGATGGTTAGGTGGAGGTTAATCTGAAACGGCAGAGGCGGAGGAATGATATTTCTGGTGGTGTTGGAGGTATTGTGAGGGGATTGCATGATCATCCTCAAGATGTTGGGAATGATGTTTTTATCATTCATT